GTTTTTTTGAGAAATTCAATCGATTACATACTAAGTAAGTAATCTTAACTAAGTATAATAAAGTAAATGTCCGGAATTATAACAGTTCATTACGATATGCCGACTCGATCGGGACTTATTAACCATGAACAGAAGTTCGACACGCAATTTTTCAACATGACATCTTCGGAAGCGCACGCCACTGATCCTATGTGCAGGATGTTGCTTGAACATACCTACGAAGCGATTATTGATGCCGGTGTAAATCCTAAAGAATTAAGAGGAACAAAAACCGCTATCTTCATAGGATCATGTTACTCTGCGACAAGAAACATAATTACGTATTACAGGCCTGAAGTAAAATATTTAACGATATTTCAAATATTTAAGGAAGATATTTCGGTCGGTTAAATATTTCATAAACGAAGCATTTTATATGATAATAATGCTACAAGTATAAAATATAATTAAACAACTTACATTTAAACTTTATCGTCGTTATATAAACGGCTATGTAGTGGAAATATTCGGCCATCCTGGGATTTTTTATATACGCACGTAATACAGAGAGAAAGATACTGGAAAAAAATTTATATGATATCGCATCTTTATTTGCGATTAGGCAGCTGGATACTCAATTGTTGGATGTAGTCAATACTTGTTAGCCAACAGCATTTCTAACTGGCTTGGCCTTGATGGACAATCTTATGCCTTGGATACGGCTTGCAGTTCAAGCCACTACGCCATGGCGGAAGCTTACAGAATGATACGAAGTGGAGAATGCGACGCGGCTATCGTGGGAGGCGCCAACATGTGTATGCATCCCAACGTTTTGCTTCAATTTATTCAACTCGGTAAAGTTATACTTAAGAATCTGTTTGATCACTTGCATCTAAACATTATAACGGTAAGAACTCTTGACATTGTTATTATTATCAGTCAATTCAACAATTTAAGGTGTTCTCTCCAGTGAATGTTATTGCAAGCCTTTGATGTTTCTGGTACTGGTTATATGCGCAGTGAAGCTATAGCGATAT